AGTATAGTATATATATATATATATATATATATATATATACATATATGCATATTATATATATATATATATATATATGTATTCGTGTGTGTGTATATATACATACATACATTAATCCTAATATTAACATAGTTAACATTAATAAAAATAGTCCACATTAAATACGGTATAGACACGAATATAAAATATATTTAGACAATTACATAGTGACAATACTGTTAACTAATAATTTAACATCAAAGAAAGTTAAATGTAATTATAATCTTCATCGTTGAAAACATCGGTTAACTAAAACAGAAATTATTGGATATAAGGAAAAAGTAAAGTTTCTATACCGTTCAATTAGTCCAAAATTGAGTAGTCGAGAGAGAAATTGGGAGAATCGCGATTATAAAATATAAATTTTCATATCTATTATTTACAAAAGGGTTCTAAATGCTCCCTTCACTTAATAATTATTTACATTAAAATGTTATATTGCTACTCAATCATAATTTTTCGATTGTTTCACTTTTCTATGCGCCTCTGTTTCACCTTCTGTGCCATAAAGATGAGATCGATGCTTCATTTCAGTTGCAACAGACTTTAATAAACCACAGAGAAACAGAAAAGCAAACATAAGAATAACGTAGATAATAAAAAGACGAAAGATAATCAAATAAAGAGAATAAGCCACATGAATGATGCAATATGATATTAATTTGATGATTAATTTATGACTAAACTCACCAAACGAGAACGCACTCTTTTTGGCATATCTTCTTGTAAACTATAGATTTCATTGCGTTTTAAAACGAGTTGAGAACCATCTTCGAAAATCACCTAAAAGAGAAAAGTTATTACAGATCATAATTAATAACTGGATAATGCAAGGAACAAATTAATCTTTAGATTCTGATATTAAAATTACTTACAGTAAACATTATCCGATGATTTGTACCTTCGAAAACACCGTTATATGTTTGACCGTCTGTCCAGTTAACTTGTACTGCGGCTCCGAGTGAAGGTGTATTTCCAGGATCATAATTCTAAATAAATCAGTAAAGTAAGACATAGAACATGTTTCGAAGAGTATGTAAAAAGAGTATGTAAAAAACAAAAGTAATTTTAAAATAAATTTTAATTTTTGATCATAAAAAAACTGGCAGATCTTGGCTATGTGTGTACGTGCGTGCGTATATGTGTGTTTGCAAAGATTGAATTAACAAAATGAGAAAAATTGTTGTAATTCACTTACAATTATATCTGAGGGATACAGATCATCACTGAAGCTCTTATCGTCAAATGTAACCATGTAAAAGAGAATATCTTGGATAGCTTCTACTTTGGCTTGATAATATCGGGCGTTACGATGCTTCGCCCAGACAGTCTCCCCTTGGCGTATCTGCGGGATCTTTTCCTTGCCCTCGTCGTGTTCGTTACACGTTACCTGCACGGCGCAAATAATGTTAACACTTATAAACTTATAGCAATCATGTCTTACAATTAAAGAAATATTATACCTGTAACTCCTGTGAATTGTACACCGGTATAGTATACGTAGCGCCTGCTACGAGACCGCAAGATGGATGGAACACATTATTGCATTGGTTACACTTGAGACACGCTCCATTTTCCTGTCCGCAGAAACAACATTTTTTCTGCAGCACATCCGTCATAAGTGTTAATACGTTGATAGGATCTTTATTTATGGCATCTTTGAACGTAGCTCCTGGTATCATAAGCGTGCATAAGATGTGCGCCCATCTACTGTCACTGGTGCGCTTCAGAGGGCCGCCATACATTGGACACAGGCAACATATCTGAAATAAAATATTTGGAATAAAATGAGATTAGACGAACTTGAGCAGCCTGAAGAAAAAAGAATTAAATTTGTTAAATACACACCGCATTTTTCCTAGCACCACATTTACATCTGTCGCACGCCCAGTCTTGGATATCCGCTGGTAGTAGCGTTATACCATAACAAGATGCGTGAACAGTTACGTGACACTCCCTGCATCGTAACAGTTTGTTATTTTCTGGCTCCACAATTTGCTCCTTGGAATTTGCCAAAAAAATACTGGACGATACCTAAATCATACGAATCATTTTTTCAATATGTATTCCCGCATAATTTCTGTCTGCATGCATTTAGAGAGAAATCAATTAATAATTACGCTTACCCATATGGGCGTACTATCAGGTAACATAGTTGATGTGCAATATTTCCAATCAGGTGGCATCATTCTACTGCTTCCGCTTGTACATGAGGCAAAAGTAGCGCATACTGCACAATGAGAGACCTGAGCGCTCCAATAATCATTGAACGCTTTTAGCAGCTCAATATTTGGCATCTTCGGAAAGATCATCTCAGAAATGTGCCCTGGTATCATTGATGCTAGCTGAGAACTACAGAATTGTGATGTATCGGCAGGCTGTGTTGACTTGAATTGATCTTTCGTAGTTTCGGTCGCAGGAGCAGCAGCCGTAGGTACAACAACTGCAGGAGTAGTTGCAGAAGCAACAGTCGTGGGAGCAACAGTTTCAGAAACACTTATTGTAGAAGCAGTATCAACGGCTGCGGAAGCAACTTCAAGAACAACATCCATAGAAGCAATGGTCGTAGAAGCAATGTTCGCAGAAGCCATTGTTGCAGGAGCAATAGTCGTAGGAGCAATGGACGCAGGGGCAGTCGTAGGATTAATAGGATCCAGAACAATATCAATTATGTCAGGAGTGACAGTCGTAGGAGCAAAAGTCGCAGCGGCAAAAGTCGCAGGAGCAAAAGTCGCAGAAGCAAAAGTCGCAGGAGCAATAGTCGATTGCTTTTTTCTCGTCGTAGCTTTTTTTTCTTTGGGCTTTTTTCTTGATATAGATGTTCTACATTGTTTCTTAGGCATAGGGCAGATATTATCTTTCTGTAACTGTGTCTTATTGTCAATTATATTTGAATGCTCATCCTCATTTTGATTAGCTACAGCCGGTTTTTTCTTCGAAATCGAAGCACGATTGTTCGAATGCGATGTGTTTATTCGTGTAATTGTTAGTCGTGAAATGTCATTTGTATCAGACAAAATCGGCCGTATCGATGTATCGATAAGATTGTTAATTTGAGTTGCAACAGAAATACTCGTAACAGATGATTGGGAAGTGTTACTTGAAGATTCATTATTACTCAATTTGTCATTCTTTGCTGACTTTCTACGTGATGTATGCCCTTTTTGCGTTCTTGGCCGCGACGCGCTTTTGGTAACTTTCGGTGTACTTTGTTTTAAAAAGTTTGTAGGCACAGATAAAGGATCAGTATTTATCGGCATATCAGGATATTCAGTATTTTTCAGAAGCTTAGAAGGTGAATATTGATTAATGATTGGTGGTGAATATTTTGATACGTTTGTCTTTGATATCATCAAAGATGAATTCCTAAATCCAGGAATTTGCATAGCTTTCTGCTTATTTATTGTAGATGCTTTAGAAGCATTTGAATATGAAGGATTGTCTTGCCATAAATTCTGTGCACACTCCTTGGAATCATCGATCATAGGAGATCTTACTGGGATTTGAAAGAGCGAACTATGTTGATTGAACGGCTGGGGCACATTATTTTTGGAAAAACCGGAACTATGTATATTAGACATTTGAAAAAACACTGGAATTTCTAACGACGGTGGAGTATTTTTAGCAGCGCTATTGTTTTCCGTAGACTGCATTTCTATTTCATTTTCCAAAATTGGTGGATTTTGACAGAGAGATGGTACGAACAATACATTTGAACACCAAAGCCTAGGTCCATTTTCCACAATTGGATGCAATCCTTGCTGTTTTTCAGCATTTTCTACTTGTGGTTTTGGTATTTTAATTGATATATCAGGTCGATACATTAAACGAGGTGCTTTTAATAAACTTTCTTTAGGAGATTTAGTTTTTATCGATTCGTTTTCTGTAGATATCGCACTTGTAGACATCGTAGTATTTTTATAATTTATTGTAGATTGTACTGTAGATTGTTTCAGATGAGTGGCTACGGCAGCTTTTGAACTTTCGTTCTGATATCCAGAATTCGAAGTTTGTACGGTAGCGTAATGATTTTTTGTAAAATTGGAATTTGTAAATATGTTTGTTGAATCACTTCTATTATTCGACAACGAACAAATAACTGGATTACTCTCTACTGCAGTATTTGTTAATCTTGTCGTATCATTAGACATATGATTTATTAATTGATTAGTATTAGTTATATTCTTGGATAATTTCTTATTGAGTTCGTCAACAAGCATAACTACTGGTGTTACTGATGTTAACATATTTCTTTGGTTCTCGGAAATATTAATATCAAAAGGCGGTAATTTCTTTTTACATTGAACACTGGCATCTGAAGTTGATATAGAATCGAAGAGCAATACATCACGTTTACGTTTACTTTTAGACACATGTTTTGGTTTTAATTTTTTTTCACTTGGTTTTAATTTTCTTTCACTATGCTTTGAATGCTTCTTCTTCTTTTTGGAACATTTTTCAATAATTTCTGGAGGATTCAAATTCACTTCTGGAGGTTTAAAATCCGAAATATTAAAATCTGGAGAATTAAAATCTGAAGGTTTGTCATCTATCTTTAAAGGATCAACAGTATCATCTTCTATAATTATCTTGTCATTATAACTGCCCTGAGGTATATGAATTTCTTCAATATTTTCTTGAGACACATATTCAAACGTATTTTCTAAGTTTTCTTCTTCTTCAATTTTCACTTCGGTTTTAATTATATCATCTATAACCTGTGTATGAATTTTGCTGATATCCTTTTTAGATTTTGATTCAGCTTTTGATTTCTTTTCTTTTTCTCCGCTTTGTTTTTTCTTTCTTTTCTTACTTTTCTTACGATTATAACCATCATCGTACACGGTTGCTTCATCAACATCTAAAATAAAAGTATATAATTAGTAAATTTTGCGAATAACACAAGATGCATAATAGCAAAAGTTACAATAACAGAAATAGAAATGTACAAGGTTTTACCCATTTCTCCTGCTTTCAACCAGATATCTTCTAGAACCTCTAATTGTTGTTCGTCCGGTGGCTCCTCTAATACATCTTCAAACTCAAGATCTTGCAAGGCCTTTTTAACATCCGGTGGGATATCCGCTCGGTTCACAAGTTCTTCCATATTAACACTAGGATTCGTACTTATAATGTTCTTCTTCTTATGAATCATATGTCGTTTACTTTTTGGTGCTGCGTTCAAGTAACTCTGTGGTAATTCACCGTTACTACTACTACTACATAATAGATCCATTTGTGAAGGCATTGGCGCGGCAGTTTGCCTAGGATCCTCCGGATGGGGACCAATATCTTCACCACGTAGCCACAATTCATACCTACATTATCAAAAAATCGATTATAATAAATATCTGACGTAATTGACCATATTGTTTAGCGGGAAAAATCATAAAATTATTAAACGATTTTTAAATAAAGCTCACTTAGATCATATGTACCTTTCTGGTTGAAAACGTTTTACAAAAGTATCCATAGATATTTTAACCATGTCTTTACTGCAGGTACATTGCGTAGCTCTCTTTCCATATTCTACCCATCTAGGCGTTGCAAAATTGGTGGATTCGGCGCAATTGAACCCGTGATTAAAACCAGCATGATAACCGTATGGAAATGTAATCATTATTTCTCCAGCCTCTTGCGTTATCTGCGAAAATGAAGGTATGAGATAGTCCGAAGAGATTTAAGATATCGTAATTAACATAAGTGGAAACAAACTTACCTTGTTACACGGAATAGAGTACTGCCTTAGTATCTGGGGAGATATCAGAGACATTTTGTGGCGCAAGAAGGCCGGACAACTCTGATAGCTAGATGGAAAAAAGCCGCTGGCAAGCCTCTCTAATCTACGGCCGTGTTCCGGAGGTATAGCGTACCACGTTTTCGGTGCGCCAAAGTGTAAATAATTTATAGAATAAAGGTCCATGTCCTCCGTATGCCAAGCGAACGTAGTTTTCCACATTCCGAAATACAGGTAAGCCGTGTTGACGCCATCGATGGATATACCGTAATCCTTGTTGACGTAATCCAGAATCGTTCCTAGATGATTGATGTTCCACTCTTTCACGTCCGGATCGGTTAATGAACCAGATACATCTGCGCCGTAAATCGGCGCTACGTACGTTATGTTCTTCCAGTACTTCCTCTCCAAATCCTCATAATCGAAGTGACGAGGAGTGGCATAACGATCGGAATTGGCTAGTTTACTGTACTCTTGTACAGTCATCGATTTCTTTTGGATATTAATTTGTTGATAAAGCCCCTGTTTTCCAGTGACAACTTGGCAGATCGGCGCTGGAATGGTGAGATCTAGCTCATCTAGATCGTAGCCTTTTTTCCTCGGGATCCATTCGGGCGGTGGTATCACTTTTGCCAAACCAGCCTTATGAGCTCCCTGGCTTTCCATGTATTCCACATATTTCGTAAAATCTTTGAACTCTTCGTATGTCGGTCTGAAGACCTGTATACGAGGTATCCCTCTCGAATTATTATTCGCCATCGCTGAATCTGTAATAACTGTAAATCAACATTATTTTCGACAATATTCGGGATGTAAAAACTTCTAATTTTTTTATAATAATATTATTAGTATTAATAAAAATACATTTTACATTTCCATTTAAATTATCATTAATCATATTTAATTATTAATTACAATTAAGTAATCCACGTTTTCTAATTTACTTTATAGCATAAAAACAAAGTTTTTTGGAAAAGGTAATATTTATATCTCCTATGCTTTCATGATCAAAAACAATAATTTTATAAATGATACATAACTCTTTGTGTTTAGGGTTTAGAAAAAGAAATAGGAAAATGAGAAAGCCTGATAAAAGATAACTAGGATGACTCTTTAGTTAAATTAATTCCTTAATAGAAAACAAGAGATAATATGCGTAAAAATTTATCACGTTATCAAGAAAAATAAAATATTAATGTCTTATGAATATAAAACGAGATAGTTGGAGCTTTAAATATTTCAATTAAATCATAATACATAGATGTGCTGCGCGATAACACGGTGCAGCACAGATAAAAATATCAAAATTATGAAAATTAGCCACATAATTACAAAAGTAGAAACATAGAAAAATAGAAACTTTTTTTTCAACTAAATGACAGAGTTACGTCTAAGTGGAAAAATCTGATTAAAATTTTATTCAATACATTATAGAACTAGTTTTACTAGTTTCTGGTTTTCAATTAAAAATACAGATAAAGCATTAACATGCATTTTAAGCAGATTCTTTTTTGTTACAAAATATATATAGTATCTCAAAAAATATTAATAAAGAAATTAATAAAAAACAATGTATTTTTATCAATTCTAACTTAATAATTCTAATAAATTTTCTTAAAAATTAAAAAAAAA